CTGATAGCTTCCTCTTTGCTCCTCTTGAAACAGCTTCCACTCCTGCTCCTGCGCATGTCCAAACCCAGTTCTGAGTCTTAATCTATTTGCCTCAGTAACATCCTGCAGCAGGGAGTTCCACAGGCTAACCATGTAGGCCTGCTCTACACTTAGAAGTTAGGTCTACTTCATGGCGTCGCTCAGAGCTGTGAAAAATTTTGCACACCGAGTGCTATAGTTAGGTTGACCTCCCAGGACTGTACACATGGCTAGATCACTGGAATGATTATGTTGCCCACTGAGCCGCCAGCTCTCAGAGTGGTTGATTAACTACAGAGGTGGAAACTGCCGTCGCTGTGCTGCTGTCATGTGAACAGAGCCATAGTGAGTTTGCCTACCAGGCTTCCCTCACCACTTCAGCCCTGTGACCAAGGACTGAGTAGACCCTAGAGAGCTAATTTACCTCTCACCCTGGAGGCTAGCCTGGCAGGTCCGTATGGAGGCATGTTGTTTCCTCAGCTCCCTGGGTAAACAGAGATCTTCCATTTTGGGGGTGTCATTCAACACTGGAATAAATTGTCTAGGGAGGTTGTGGAATCTCCAGCACTGGAGATATTTCAGAGCGGGTTAGACAGACACCTGTCAGGGATGGTCTAGATGAGGCTAGGTCCTGCCATCTCGAGGTCCCTTCCAGTTATAGGATTCTAGGATTCCGCACCAGCTCCTGACTCATGCATGCTTCACCCCTTGTAATCAATTGAGAAGTCTATTGTCTTGGAACTGAACTTTCCACTGCTCTGGTATGTGCTGAGATGGGGTAAATCACTGAACACATGTGGCTTTCTTAAGTACGGCCACACTGGGTCAGACCAAAAGTCCATCTAGCCCAGGGTCCTGTCTCCCAACAGTGGCCGGTGCCAGCTAATTCAGGGGGAATGCACAGAAGAGGGCAATTATTGAGTGATCCAATCCCATACGTCATTTGGAGGTTGCATCCCGGACCATCTTGGCTAATAGCTATTGGTGGAGCTGTCCTCCATGAACTTATCCAATTCTTTTTTGAGCCCCATAATGCTTTTGTCCTTCACAACCTCACCTGGCAAGGAGTCCCACAGGTTGAGTCTGTATGGTGGGAAGAAATACTTCCTTTTGTTTGTTTTGAACGCGCTGTTTATTGATTTCATCGACTGACCCCTGGTTCTCGTCGTATGTGTTAAGGGGGACAGAACACTTCTCTATCCATTTTCTCCACGCTCCTCATGATTTTATAGACTTCTTGCCACATCCCTCCTCCCCCATCGTCTCTCTTTTCACCTGAATGGTTAAACCTGTCCCAGGCTTTTAACTCTCTCCTCTTATGGAAGGTGTGGACATACCCTGGATTTCGATAGCGACATTATGCTAGTCTCTGCTTTACTGTTGATCCCTTTCCTACTGGTTCCTGATGTTCTCTTGTGGCCGCCGCTGCACTGCGAGGGAAGGTTTCAAGAACTATCCGCAACGGTGCCAAGATCTTTCTGCAGAGATTGCAGCTAATTTAGCTCCCATCCTTTTGTATGTAGAGTTGGGGTTGCTTGTCCGTGTGTGCTGCTTTGCATTTCTCATCCCTGAATATCCGTCATCTGTTATTGTGTTGCCCAGTCACCCAGGCTGTGTCTAGACTGGCAAGTTTTTCCACAAAAGCACCTGTGTCCATCTCATGTCACGGGCTCCGTGGCAGCTCATTGGTGTGTCAGCAAATCCATGGAAGAGAGAGTTGGAAAAGGTCTGTTAGCTCCTCCAGTCTACTCCCAGGCAATATACAGACTATTTACTGCCATGTTCCATCCAATCTCACAAGGCATCAGGTGATCCTAGGTCCTAGGGCTGGAAAAGGACCCTCTAACATGCTCTACCCTGCCCCATCTCTCCTAAGAAGGCCTAGCTAGCATTAGTAGTGCCAGCACAGCCTCTGCCCCTTGCTGCCCCAGGCGCTGTCCTACCCACACAAGTGGTACCCAGATGTTAGTAGTTGCTAGGTAACCGTCTCCTAGCCTCCGTGTATATTCAGCCACTTGGATCTGATTGGTTGAGGGGATTCTGCTGTTGGTCTATTGATTTGGTCTGCTGTCACTCTGCCAGGTGAGGAGGAGAATGGGGGGGAGGGGCAGTTCCTGTGAAGCCAAGCGAGCCTCCATCTCAAGTTAAGATTTAAATTAATTTATTTTAATAAGCCCGGTGGTTATTTCCCGCCCCCCAACTTTCCTCCTTGCCCTTCAACGCTGTTGCTCCCATCAGCCCACCCATGGCACAGGGCCCACTCATGGCCAAGGCTTCTCATCCGTCAGCTTGGAGCCCTGCCCCATGGAAAACCCTGCTGATCACTCCCCCAGCCGAGTTCCCACCAGCAACTTCTCTCAGCTGCGCAGGGACGTGCTGCTTCAGTGTTCCTTAGCCTCAGCGCCTCGTCCTACCATCCTCCGAGTCTGCAGCTACGGCCTTCTTTCATTTCTGTTTCCCTGCAGGCACTGATGTATGTGATCACCCTCCCCTATCCCCACCCCACGCTCCTGGAGCCTTCTCTTGGCCAGAGCCTATGAAATGAGCTCCCTCTGGCCTTCCTCACCTGCTTTGTCCCTCTGTCCTCAGATCAGGTTTGTTGCCCTGCTTTGGGAATCAGGACCATGCATCTTATTGGGGCACCAGGGCTATACTGCATGGCAGAGGGACCGCCCTGGCTTTCTGGAGGCCCTCTCTGTGCATACAGACTGAGATGGATACTGGACTCTGCTTTGCAGTGGGGTTGTCCTGCCTCACGGACTGTGACATCTGGCCTTGTGTGCTCTTACCCCTTACTGTACAGAGTTCCTTCAGGAACATCAGCGCTGATACAGTCAGTAGCTTTCCCCGGATCCGGTCCATGCCTAATCCAGGGACAATCCGGCCGCGTAGTGCATCCCTTAAGAGGTGTGTCTGAATGGATAATGCTTGGGCAAGTTCCCGAGCGCAGCAACGGACTGTGCTACCGACCCCCTACTCCCTTACTGCGGTGAAGGAACCGAGCGCATTCTGCGGGTGTTGATGGCGTAGGAGAGACCGCTCCTGCCGTGGGATACATGGCTGTACCGGGCACAGTCAGAGGTGACAGGACACAACAGCAACCATCCGTGGGCCCTGGCACCCAGCAGTACACGGCCCATAATTCCCAGTTTGCATTGCACTCAGCCCCAAGTTTGCTATTTCTCTGCTCTCCTACTGGCCACCCTCTGCTCTTACTCCTACAGGTTGGACCTCCCTGGTCCGGCACCTTAGGGAATTGACTGATCCCAGATGAGGGAGTTTGCTGGGGGGAGGGCATTTCTGGCTCCCCTGCTGCCGGTCCCACCCCCCTGCCCTGTCCCCACCTCCACTGGGCTTCCCAGCTCCCCCCACCCACTGCAGCTCCCCCCTGGAGTCACAGTGGGACTTGGGATCTGGCCCCCTTTTCCTCCTCCCACATTCCCCAAGCAGGGTCCCTCCTGCCCTCCTTGCGCTTGCTGAGCTGTCAGACTGATTTGGTGGGGGGTGGAAGAGGGTCTTGGGCTCACAGGCCAGGCTGAGCGTGCAGTGTAAACAGCTACGGGCCCTCACAGCAATTGCAAGTAAGGAAACCCTAAAACTCTGGCTCCACTGCTGGGGAGCAGCGCTTTACCCAAACAGGCCTTCACGCACTAGGAGCAGGAAAGCTGTGTAGGCCAAGTGCCAGAGCACATCCCATCTGCTAGGCCCCTTGGCCTTTAGTGACGCCGGGCTTAGAACCCACGTCTCCTGAGGGGAAGCAACCTGGCTCAGGACACAGGCCCGGAGCCAGGCAAGTCTCTGCCTCCTGCCTTTCCCTCACTGCCTCCCACTGAGGGGCTCTGCGGATGCCACAGGCAGGGGTAGCTGGTGAGCTGCTTCCATATCCGATGAGGGACGGCAGGGGTATGTCTCAGGAAGGGCAGGTGACCTTCAGAGACCCCCGAAGGGCAGGGACAGCCAAAGCCCCCTGCAGTTCTGGTCTCACGTTTCGCGGGTGGCTGCAGTACTCAGCCCCGGGGCTGTGAATTCCAGATGCCACCGGTGGCCGACCGTTCTCTGCTGACCCACACGAGGGCAACTTGCTGTCCCTTTAGTGCCCGGTGTGGCCTCTAAGCTGCCTACAGCTCCACGTGGCCAGACCCCAGAAAGAAACACGGGCCGGGGTCCCAGAAAGAGAGTCCACCGACAGCAGGCTTTGAGGGACGTCCCAGCCAGCCAGGCACTGCTCCGGCGGGCTCGTGTGCAAACGGGAATGCCCCACGGCCACAGCGCTGGAACAGATCCTCCGACTGATGCGTTGATTTGGCCGGTGCTCTTTTACAAACCCCCTCCCACGCACGCTCACGGCACAGGTACATGCGGACACACACCAGCACACGCGTGCGCGTGCGCTCACGCACAGAAACCTCCACCCACGTCCGCCGCCCCCCTGCTTTTCCCTCAGCACCCGCACCTCCCCCGGCCCTCTTCACGGCTGCAGGAGAGCCAGACGGCCACTGCACAAAAGGCACCCGAGACACTGCGCAGCTCATGAGAAAGGGAAGAAATGCCAAGGCAGTTTATTTACAACGGTTGCATTACAAAAAGGCAGCTCGTGCCACAAGTGGAACAGAAACCGTCGCCGCTTCCCCACCCGCTTCCGCCTGCTCTCGGTTAATTGCTTCCTCAGAAAAGCCCCAGAGATGCTGTTTATCAAGGCCCCTCATTTTATCAGTGCCCTAAAAGCCTTATCCGGATGTAGAGGAGACCGACAGCTCACTCGCTGGAGAGCCACGCAGTGCATAGGGACGGGTCTGTCTGCCGCCTGCAGGCCGGCTACTGTTGAGCAGCTGCACGTCCTGGCTAGGGATGCGAAAGACTAGGCGACTCGTTGCTTCCCCCACCCTTGCTGCCTCTATCACATAGAGGACGCAAGGGGGAGGGAGAAGGGGGTACTTCAAAGCGGCAATGCCATGTGGAGCCTGGGATCAGCTGGGGATCCCAGCTGACCCCGGGCTCTGCATGGTGCTGCCGCTTTGAAATGCCAGGTGAAGCCCGGGAGCAGCGGGGACTCTCTAGCTGACCTCCGGCTTTGGCACTTTCGCCTTCGAAGCGTAGCAACAGCCTAGGGCCTAGGGCTGTTGTTACACTTCAAAGGCGGAGGCGCCCTCTCGACTCATCGAATAGTCGATGCAAAAATGCATCGACTATTCGATGAGTCAGTTACCTGACACGTAACATCCTTAGTCCTGGCTTGCTGCCTTTTGGCTTCGAGCTGGACGGACGCCCCCTCAGCCTCCCTGCTTTCTCCAGGAGTGAGAAGGCCGGTCAATGGGAGCTGTGGGGCGAGGAACCCCGGAGGCTGTCAGTGCCACCCGGCCCTGTGAGCTGGAGGTGACCCCTTTCCACATGCCCTGCAGACCCTGTAACAAGGAAGCCTCCGCCATCTCCTCGGGGATCCCAGTCCACAGTCCCGCTGGGACGACACCGTTCTGAATAGCTTCGGTTTTTTCTCACTTCCCTTTGGGACGTCACTTGCTTGACTGGCATTAGCAGCAATTCCCCATGGACAGAGGTAGTCACAGCTTCCAATGGGACCTGACCCCCCCCATCTTCCCTGGCTTTATTATCTGGCCTCCTCTTCGCTAGTCCTCCTGGCATCACCGTCCCTTCCACTGCCCTGCGCTGGATTCCCTCTGCATCACCCACCCCCGACTGTCTCGTCCACCAGCCGCCCCAGCTCCAGCGCCTCCTGCCCCACGCCGCTTTCCTGCCTCCAGAATGCAGAGATTTTCTGCTGCTTCCAGCCAAAGGGAATCGCATTAGAAGCTACGTCCCGGGCTGCGTCTGACAAATCCTCACGCTTAGTGCGGTCGCAGGGTCTTTCGAACGCCACGGCAGCCAACCAAGTCTCCTACAGCCGGATAACACCATTTGAGGAAGCAATGGGTTCTCATGCGGGGCAGGGGAAGAGGAAGCGAACCCTCCTCATTATGCCAGACAATACTGAATTGCTGGCCAGGAACCGTTTCCCAAAGCTGACAAGAGCCTCTGGGAAGAAGCAGCAGCAGCGCCAGGCCCCCGACAGGCCCGCTGTGAGAGACAGAAAGAAGAACGAGACGCGGAGAGGAGATGTTTCGTTTGTATTGATGACCAAAGTTCATGGCAAAACACAGAACAGACGACACGCACCCCGAGAGACGACTTCCCTGCCCACCGTTACAGAGCGATGCCGGCCGGGCAGCCCGTCCGCTTGGCACTTAGCCCCAAATTAAAGTCACCCGCGCTGCACATGCCTCTCCCACCCCCTGGCCACCAGCATCACCGACCCTTTGGATTCTGTCGTAGACACGCATGGTGAGGAAGTAAAAATGAAACCATGGGGAGGGTGTAGACTTCCCAAGCGGGGTGTGTCTATTCCCTTCCTGTCCTCCCGCCAACCAACACCTCCCCGCCCCATCTGCCTCCTCCCCATCCCCCACCCACCCCCAAAACAAATAGGATGGCTTCACTGGTCAACTCTTTACATTCACACACAAAGCAAGCAGAGGAATGTCCCGTCATCGGCCGCAAAGCTTCACCGGCGCTGTCAGTCCAAATCGCCACCGTCCCGGCCTCTCTACCTGGAGGCCTCTTCCTTGAGCTCCTTGTTTTTCCGCACTTCTTCCGCGTGTTTGTCCTGTGGGAAGGGGGACTGTGTGAGCGTGCGGGGCGTCAGGAGTCAAAGGCAGGCAGCCACAAGGGGACTGCAGATGGGTTTGACGGAGAGGCAAGGACAGAAAAATGGTGGCGCAGGTTCCACCCCGGCGTCGTGCCACCAAAGCCACGGGCGTCGTACCGGGAAAGGGGCTGTTCAGGGCAGCGGATGGGCCTGGACATAGACAGTCCTTGGCTCAGATCTAGAAGGGTGGTGCCAAACCACACCCAGAGCCCCAGGGACGGCCAAGGAGCATGTGTCCACACTGCAGCCTGGGCCGGAACATCTACACTGCGATTACACACCCAAGCCAGCTGGCGCAGGCCAGCTGTGGGTTTCCAACTGCAGTGCAGACGTACGCTTCGATTGTCCTTCTCTGCCTCCCTGTCCCGGCCTCCGGTACGAGGGGAAAGCTGGAGAAGGCTTTTGGAGGAGACTAAGGAGGGTGGGAGTTGGTGGGGGAGCAGGACCTTCTGTGTTGGGGTGGATTTATGCCAGGGGTGGGGAACCTAAGGCCCGGGTGCCAGATGCAGCTCCCGGCTTGCCTAGATGCAGCCACCGAGGCTCTGGGCTCCCCCCGGCATTGGGGGCAGGGGACAGACATGGGGAGTCCATGCTAGTGAGGGATGGCGGGGGGGGAGAGTTTGTTCGGTTTCTCACTTGTGTGCAACCCCCGACTGATTTTTCTGTGGGTCATTGGCCCCGACCCAGAAGAGGTTCCCCACCCCTGATTTATGCCCTCGTGATACTAATGAACAATGGAGGTAACCCACAGGGGACTCTGTGCCCCCAGGCCTCCTCCGGGGGTGGTACCAGGGTGCTGTCCTCTGTGGCTGGCATCGGGGGCGAAGGGGGGGAGAGCTGTGACCCAGGAGGCAGGGGAGCTGCATACGGGGCAGCCCAAGGAACTGGGACTGGGAGGTAGGAGATGAAACTGAGTAAATGAAAATCTAGAACGAGCCATTTCCACTTTTGCTTGGGTCCTTGCGCGCTAGACTGGACAAAGCAGCAGGCACGATTCTGAGGAGAGGCCTGGGTTCCAATCCTTGTTGTGCCCCAGACGCCCCGTACGCTGCTCTGTGCCTCAGTTCCCCCTCTGTCCAAAGGGACTAATAACCCTGCCTCCGTCTTTCCGTCTGTCACGTTCCTCGAGGCCCCGGGTCCGGCGCCCTGCGCTCACCTTCTCCTGCAGGCGTTCCAGCATGGCAGCTAAGTGGGCCTCCCGGTTCTCTTTGTTGGACTCCATCTTCTGTGCCAGCTTCTCCTTGGCCGCCTTGATGAAGTTGTTGTTCTCCTCGATGGCTTTCTGGATGACCTCCCGCTCGTGCTCCCGCTTCTCCGCCAGGTGCTTCAGGAGCTCCGCTTCCTGGTACTGCACCCACAAAGCAAACAGGACAGGCAGCAGAGTCCCGGGCCCGCCGGGGACAGCCAGGTGCCTGCGTCACGAGTGGAACCAGCTTTCAGCCTGCGTTACACAACCCCTGAGCCAACCCGTTACCCAGCGGAGCCCCTGGTGGCTGAGTCAGCTGCCTCCCGGTGGACCTCCTCAGATACCTCCCAGAACCCTCCGCACCTTGGGTGACACACCAGCGCCCGAAAGGAGCCACGTTTCCCCAGGGCCTCTCTCCCGTCCCACCCCACGTCAGCCCACGGGCCCTTCTGCCTACCTTCCGCCGCTCCTCGGCCGCCTCCAGCTTCTTCTGGATCTCCTCCAGCGAGGGGTCACGCCGCCGGGGCAGGGAGGCGTTGAACTCGGGGATCCCGTCGAAGGAGGGCGGCTTTAGGATCACCTCGAAGGACTGGCCCGAGGTGCGCTTGTTCAGCTCGATGACCTCCATGTCCGAAATGACGCACCAGGTGAGGTCGACTGTGTCTGCTGCGGGAGCGAGCGACAGAGGAGTTATCGCTCGCACGCTCACCTGCGCCTGTGACTCACACCTGCTAACGCCCC